CTCTCAACGACCCGCTCTTCCGCGCCCTCATCGAGCCTCACGCACAACCCTCAAAAGCCTTCGCGCCAAACTTCGATATCCAAGAGACATTCGCCGCCTACATCGTTGAGGGCGAGCTCCCCGGTATCTCGGATAAGAAGGCAGTTAACATTGAGTTTACGGATGGACAAACGGTTGTGATCCAGGGGCGGGTCGAGCGCTCAACTACCAATGGCGAAGATGCAACAGCTAAGGGGAAGGAGGTCGAAAAGCATGAAAGAGGAGAAAATAAGGTTGAGATGAAGAATAAGGCGAAGCAGCCAAAGGTGTGGGTTAGTGAGAGGAGTGTGGGGTCGTTCAGAAGAGTGTTTAGGTTCCCAACACCAGTGGATACGGATAATGTGAAGGCGAGTTTGGAACATGGGATTTTGTCGTTGGTGGTACCGAAGAAGGTGATTGAGAAGAGGAATATTGAGATTGAATAGATGGGTGTAGGAGGATAATGGATGGATGGATAGGGTTTTTTGATTCGGTTTGCCGGTGTTTCGGTTCTGCATTGGGGGAATAGAGGGTGGAATTGTATTTGTTACTCGGTTGAGAGAAGTTAATGAACATGTAATGGAATAATACTCTCTAATCATTCACACTTATCATAAACGTGAAACTACGATGTAACCGATGTTGCCCACTGAAGAATAAGAATCAAGCAAGATCTTATACACATCATATGATTGTCTTTTAACTACCGCCATCCCGCGTAACCCCACCCCACTGCCTTAATCCTCATCCATACCCCTAAGCTTTTGACTTGGCATAATTCACACCTCGTATGTCCGCAGGTAGCGCAAATCTTGCTGTTCTCGGTTCTGCTCTTGCATCCACAGCACTGTCAAGGTAAGCAATAAGCAAATGAATCTGATTGTGCTGGGGACCCGGATGTTCTTTGTGTAGATGCCGCTCCAACTGATACTCGTGACATGACTGGAGCTGAGTCTGCAGGTTGGGCTTTGATTTCTGCTTTCTTTTTCTCTTTTGATGGCGGTTCCTTTCTTGCAGTGGTGGGGTTTTCGAGTCGCTCCTTTACTTTGGTCTTCGGTTTGTGCTTTGCGACTTTCTCTTCAGTATCCATCTTTGCTTGCCGAGTTTTCCGACATGCGCAAGTTCTTCCTGCCGGCTCTTGCTCTTTTATGCCTTTCTCGAATTGCACCTTCTTGGTGTGTTTCCTGGTGGTATGGGTATGAGTCACTTGGGTTGGTTTTTCCTTCTCCGTTTTTTCTCTAGCAGGGTATGCTTTTTCCTTCTCTGATTTCTCTCTGGTATGAGACAGTTTCTCCTTCTTTGATTTCTCTCTGGCATGGGATATTTTTTCTTTCTTTGATTTCTCTCTGGAACTTTGGGATGCTCTTATAAGATTCTCGTATTCCAGCTGCTTTCTGGCGGCTCGCTTGTTAGCTAGACGGTCTCTTTCAGCCTTCTCTTTGGCTTCAATCTTGGCTTTCTCGAAGCGGACTCGGGCGCCGTTCTGCTTATCGGCTGTGACGGCTTCAGCTTTTGTTTTCTCCTTGTCTTTTTTCTTAGTAGCCTTTTCCCTTTCAGCAGCTGCTTCAACTTCCTCCTCTCTTATCGCTTTTTCTTTGGTGACTTGCTCGAGATCCACCATTGCTGATATATCGCTGGCGATCTCTTCCCCTAGAGTTATCTCCTTAGCTTTCTCTTTGATGTCCTCTTCCATTTCGATGATAGCTTCGAGGAGTTCTTTCATATTTTCTTTCATATCTTGCTCGAATAACTCCTTTCCAGCTGATATTTCGCTGGCGATCACCTCCCTCTCAGTATCCTTCATCTCTTGCGCTGCCTGTGTATCGGCCTCTTCAATCCATGCTTCAGTCTCGGTTGTGGGAAGTGGGAATGTTGATACCAAGCTTTCTAACTCGGGTTTGGGTGTCTTTGGTGACTGGAGCGTCGGTTTCCATGCTGGATGTTTGAGTATTTTCGAAATCGGGAGTGATTCTCCTGCTACTGGCATTGTTGCTGCCCTGAGTTTTGTAGGCATTTTGTGAGAACTTTAATGTAGAAAGCGAATATATACCGGGCTAATATACTCATAGCTGCCATTCAACTTGACTATTGTCAAGTCGAAGTCCCATTGCTCAAATCTTCCTCCAGCATATTCCCATGGCAGGAGAGTGACCTCGCAAGTCGGTTGTGCCAGGAGGAGGTTCATTCAGGATTTTCCTTTGTCTGACATAGGCTTTATGCCTCTAATGCAAGAATGACTCAAAATAAAACAATGACCACGGGAGGACGGTCTGCTGGGATAGATCCAACAACACAGCAGCAGAAACACATTTGTAATTACCTGATAACTTGCTGCTTCATATTCCTTACAAGTTACTATATATATGAAATCACCTCACCGCCACCCCCCCCCAATATTTACCATCCACCATCGCCTGTAACGCTCGGTGCATTATCGGCTACCGGTACTCCACCCCAAGAATCTTCAGTGCCACTTTCACTCCCATCCCAGTAACCTTCGTCCCTAAAACCCCCGTTCGAATGCCCATTCCTAACACTGCCACTATATGTCCTGGTGCTTCCATCCCGAACACTTCCACTCCCATTCCTAATGCTCTCACTTCAAGAATTCCCGTTCGTTATGCTTCCGCTCCTGAGGGCTCGAACTCGTCGTTCCTTACACATCCACACCCACTCTTAACGCTCTCACTCAAGAAATTATCAACCAAGGCTCCCACTCCCGCTTTTGATACTGGGGGTATAGTGCGGTAAAGTGGTCAAAAATTTTTTTACAACGTCGTGCATGAAATTTGCAGAATTGGGTAACTTTATGCACACCAACACCCAATTCCAGTGGTTATACACCATGTCAGCCTAGCACCACAGACTTTGTGTAGAGGTCATTATTTGCTGTTTATGTGTATGAATTAGGAATTTTGGAACCTGATGTGTATCAGATACTGGATTTTGCAAATTATTTTTGATGCATCATTTGGGAAATTTAGTATTTAATGTGCATCAGGTTCCAAAAGTCCTTATTCATGTCCACCAACACCAAATTCCACAAGTTCATGCATAACATTGTCAACCATACACAATGTCATACTACAACATTGTTAAATTGAGGACTTCATGCACAAATTAGCAGAATTGGGTGTTAGTGCACATGAATTTACTCAATTCCACTAATTCGATGTACAACGTCGTGAAATGGTATTTTGGCCACTTTACACCGCCATAGGGGGCTCAATCCCGGCGACCTTTCACACTTCCACTTCCACTCTAACACTCCCACTCCTCTTGCTGCTTATGATGTCCTCGATTCTAGCGAGTTCACTACTAACAAGCTCGCCCTTGGCGGACTATCTCTTGAGATCTCAATCCTCATGACCATGATTACCCTTCAAGCCCCCATTCCCGCTCTTAATGCTTTCCGTCCTGAGGGGCTCGATCCACGCCTCATGTTTCCACTCCCACTCCTAGCGCTTCCACTCCTCCCACTCTTGATACTCCCATTGCTTCTGAGGTTTTCGATTCTAGTGAGCTCATGATTGATAAGCTCACTCCTGCTAGTTTCGCCATTGGCATCCCAGTTTGAAGCACCCTCATGCCTCTTAGGTGAATCGAGCTTGAGGGTCTCAAGGTTGGTCTCAACTCTAGCGGCCTCGATCTCGGCGGCCTCACTACTAGCAGCTTTACTCCAATTCTTATTCTTGCTCTTGCTCTTGCTCTTGCTCTTGCTCTTAGTCTTCTGCTTCCAATCTTTCTGCTCTTACTACCCCCCGTCTCACTCCCATCACCAGGGACAACAGCGCTAGCAAGACGATACACCATCTTAACCCTCATCCACGTCCTCAAGTGTTTTAAGCAATAGGAATCGCAGCATGTGTGGGATTTACAAGATGCACATATCTTCCCGAGAGAGTCGTGCTTGTATTGTTCCATGATGGTGTTGTAACGGCAGCAACGCCAGAGGAAGATGGGTTTGAGGGTTGGGAAGTTGTGTTCATGTTCTTGATGTTTCTGACACCGTTGGGATGGGAAGTGGGAGGACATTTTATTATGCGCTGGAGGGAGGTTTCAGCCTTGAAAGCCTCGAAAGTAACGTCTGGAGCTCAAGATATGGATGAAAAACAAATAAATTAGTATGGAGATATCAGCGATCGTTTATTTGAATGTCATTTTATTATGACAAGTAAACTAACCAAAGGCATATTTTTCGGGGGTGATAAGGCCCTTTAATTTGGTATCAGGTTTTGGATGGAAATGGAAGTGAACTCATTTTGAGATTGCATAGCTTTTGTTTCTGGCTTTGGGCTGTTGTAATAGGTTGTTTTGTTCGGGGTTCTTGTCAATATTTTTTGTTATGTGTTATGGTGCGCACGGCCTCAGACCTGGGTAAACATTAAGGGGTTTTCATCAAGAATACCGTTGTTTGTATTGGGGCAGGCAGCAAGAGGTGTTCCAACTAGCCACTCTGTAATATTATGGAACCCTCTCTGGGGAACCCTCTCTGGTAATGAAATATACAGTGCACAAATCAGCCCTTAGAATACTACTGCGAGAGTTGACAGAATTAGCAGTATGTCATGTCATTAGATAGAGCTCATTCTTGACCACTGAACTATGTATTTGGCCATGCACTGAATTTTCTAATACCCAGGTTCGAGGCCGCGCGCACCATACATATTTGATTCAGACATGATAATGCTGGAAATCTGCTCGACCCCGTGCCAAAGTCCGGTCCATTTGGTTTTGTCATCTTGTATATAGAGCGCCCGGTACACAATAAGAGACAGTGTCGCTTTTGGACACTCGCTACTTCTAATAGATAACGCAAAGTTACGAGCATAGCCCATAGAATTCTCCGTCCCAGTGAAAGTTCATGATCACTAAGTTACGGTTGGGTAGAGTAAAAGAGTGGACTCTGCAGGTTTGAAGCCTGCGATGTTAGTGTTACATCACCAATTTAATACTGCGGGTTTCATGCCAGTGAATGTTTACAGCACTGCAGGTTTCGAACCCGCACCAACCTGGTGTTTCTAGCACTAGGCTTACCCGCTAAGCTTAGTGCTCAGCTGTTATATAAGGGTCGACTTCAGCCATGGTCTGGTGAATTTCCAGCATATGAGACCCGTGGCATCGTTCATTGAATGGGCGGACGACAAGGCCGAGAAGCAAAAGAGTGAACTATAGGTTTTAAGCCTGTGACATTGGTAATTACAGCACCAGCTTATATTGCTGGTTTCATGTCCGTGAGAAGCGAGTGTTTACAGCACCGGGGGTTTCGAACCTGCGCCTACCTAGCTAGCCTGCACCATGCCTGTCGGCTGAGCCAAGTGCTCGGGTGTTGTATATGCGCTTGATTTCCGCTATTATCATGTGAATTTCCAGCGCAGTGTATGATTTCGGAGCAGGGCCCGCTGTGTTTCTTGTTTACTGAGAGGCCGTAAACTCGACATATCGAGGTATTCCTGTCTCTTAGACTCGGTGAGCGAGAACCCATAATATCTGTGTGAAAATGATTGCTTCGTCTGCGTACGCACCAAGTCGCAATATCAATTAGTGCGAAAAACGAATTCATTAACAATATCTTGACTGTTTTGAAAAAATATGAGGCCAATACCGTACCACCCTCAATCGAGTCTCGTCTGTGAATACAATAGACTAATATATAACAATCTAAACCACGTCCTTCCAATCCCTCCCTCCCATTATCTGTAATAATCTCAACCAATGCATTAGCACAAAAACGACATCTGCTGTGTGACGGTTCAACGTCACATCGTACAAAGATAGAGCCTGTGTAACGCTAGCTACCTTGATATATTACCTCATCATGCACCACCATGAGTCACCAACCAGTACTTCATATACCCCAGCACCTCTCTCCCATTTCCAACTCCAATCCACACCACACACCATGCCCCGCATCCCCAAAACCAAAAAACCCACCTCCACCCCCTCCTCCAAACCCCCCTCCCCTTCCTTCTCCTCAAACACAATCTACTTCTTCGGCCCCACCAACCCTCATGGTCACTTCTCCCAACACTTCCCCTGCCTCTTCACCTCCTCCGACTCCCATGTCTACACCAGCACCGAGCAATACATGATGCATCGCAAATCCCTCCTCTTCGCTCCCACCTCCTCCTACCCCTCCCAAATCCTTTCCACCACCAACCCTCGCGCCTGCAAAGCCCTGGGAAGGGAGGTACCCGGGTTTGATCCCGAGGTTTGGAATCAGCATAGGGAGAGGATCGTGGAAGAGGGGAATTGGTATAAGTTTTCGCAGGATGAAGGGTTGAAGAAACTTCTGCTGGAGACGGGAGAGAGAGAGTTGGTGGAGGCGGCTCCGAGGGATAGGGTTTGGGGTATTGGGTTTGGGAAGGAGAGGGCGGAGGGGATGAGGGAGAGGTGGGGGTTGAATTTATTGGGGAAGTGCTTGGAGAGGGTTAGGGGGAGGTTGAGGGAGGGAGGGAGAAGCGAGGAGGGAGGGAAAGGAGGAGGAGGAGGGAAAGTGCTGTGATTTTGGGCGGTCTACGAAATACCTATCTCTAGAGTTGGTTCCATGGTAGGTAATCTGAAACCCTATGTGCCAGACTATTGTTTGGCACATTTGGGTTCAGATTATCATGACTATGGGAGAGTTCAGTACCTGCGGTTGGTTGGTCTGGCTTCTGGCAAGAATGGGGTCGGGAATATATTCTGGACAGCCACTAAGGTAGCAATTTATAGAGCTCGCTATGGGGAAAAAGTATCTGGTCGGAGAATATTGTGTGAATGACGAGAGAAGTGGTGTAGAGTTTGGGCTATATTGTACAGACGAGGTTCGATTGAGGGCGGTACGGTCCTCATATGCTACGGTCATCTCACCGCGTGGATATTTTCACATATTGCTAAAAACTACTGGTGACCCCGAGAGATGTATACGTATTTTCAATGGCCTCAAAGGTGTTATTTTGTGTTCAAATACAACTAGCCGGACCTTATAAACCTACAGCCCGACCTTATAAACCTACAGCCCACGCTAGAATGTTGTTCCAAAGGGCCAACCAAAAGTACATTCAAAAGGTTACCACCCTCAACACCTACTTCTTCCCCCCAGTTTTATCCAGCACGCCCACAAACTTTCCCCCAACACCTCTCTTTTCCAACGCCTTCTCCACCACCTTACTCTGACTCCCCTGGACCATAACCTCCAACAGCCCAGGCTTCAACCCAACAGCCTGTCCCACCGTCGCAGAGCCCGCACAAACCTTCTGCAACTCTTCCGCCAACTGTTTCGGATCCACTCCGAACGGCTCTAATCCAAAAATCCTAGTCACCGTCTTCTTCCCCTGCCGCTTCTCCATGACCACCTGGACTTTTGGGGCCTGCCCACTCTTTGGCTTTTGTTCTTCACCCGATGCGGTGGTGATTTTGTAATATGGTGAGCACGCTTTTACTAGCCTCTCGGCGAGGAGATCGCGTTTGTAGATCCCTTTGGATTTTGCAAGCTCAGTTGTGTCGGCTGGAGTTGATGAGAAGAGGGTGTTGCTGAGGATGGGGTCGAGTTTGATGAGGCGTTTGTTGGTGGGTTGGGAGAGTGAGTTGGTGTCGATGTAAGTGTTTAGGAGAGATTTTAGGTCTGAGGTGGTGTAGAAGTCTTTCGTTCTGTTTTTCCATGAATCAGTACACCACTTACTCGGGGAGGTGTTTGGAGTGAGAGACTAACCCAGCTTTACACTCTTCGAAGAATTTCACGCCCTTGCCATTTGGTCGGTAGAGTGCTTCCACCTTGACCATTCCTCCTTTTCCCAGGGAACCGGGGGAGTGTTTCTCTTCCCTTGGAGCCTCGGGGAGTTTGTAGGATGTGAAAGCTTGAACCTCATTATGATCCCAGTTAATGTCCATCACTACAGTCTCCCCTCCGTTCCGTACTTTGGTCATAACCAGTAGCTTTCCGTGGAGATGCTTCAAGAACTTGGCGACATTTTTCCAGCTTGTTTTCTTGAGCTGTAGGCTTGGGTGCGGGCCTTGATTCTGTAAGTAATTGTGAGGCGGAAAGTGGCTTGCTGGAGGCAGGTACGGATGTACTAGCTGAGATATAAACGCGGAGGAAGATAATGGAAACTCTAGAGTTGAAGCTTTGTCGTTTTCCGAGTAATCTTTGAATCCATATAATGTAGCGTTGTAGAAAGCATCATCAATTTCCTTCGTCTCCAACTGTCGAACCTCATCCTCGCCACTACTTCCACCTCTCTCCTCCTTCTTCTTCTCATCCTCTGAAATCCCCATAGACTGCACCCCCTCAACTATCCCCACCTCCCCATCTGTTCCCTGTACCTCCAGCACCTCCGGAACCTTCCCAGGGCTACCTCCATGCTTATAAATCTCGTCACCAACCCAATGCAACACCCTCACCGCCCTCCCCTTCTCTCCCACCGCCTTCTCCAACCTCCCAACATCAACCTCACACACCCCGACCGCCACGGGAACCGTCGGTCTCTCTGAACTCGCAATCCCCACCAAAGCGCCCACCTTCGCCCCTTCCGGAAACGGCGGACCAATAAGTCCGGGAATCATCAAATCCGCACCATCACACAACCTCTCAATAACCGGCGGGTGCGTATGCAGCATCGGCAACAACTCAGGGTTTTTCCATAACGTATAAACAGTTGGAAACAACTCCGGGGAAGCACGGTCAACCCTAACCCATAATGGCCGTTCGTTGGAATCTGCGTGCGCACCGAAATAGAGGGTGCCGTTGACGGGAGTGAGGTCGGGACCGTGTGTGGTGGTGAATTTCGCGGATGAGGTCCCGTCGGGGAAGAGGAGGTTGCGGAGGGCGGCTTCGCCGGTGGATTGCTGCTCTTCGGATGATGAAGGAGGGACAGTGTAGGAGAGGTCTTGGATTATTTGTTGTGCGATCTTGCGGCGGTCGGAGGAGCGGAGGGCGGAGAGCGGTTTAATCTATAGAGGAGTTAGCTGGTTGCATCGCATCAGGGCGAGATGGTGTACATTTGGCTTCTTCTTGAACATGACGGTGATGGTCGCGTGGTATGTGGGGTAGGGAGTGTAATGAGACACTTAAGCCGGTAAAAAGATGGGGTGGACTGATCGAAGGAGTGAGTTGAGGGTATTCAAAAAGTGAGGGTGAAATGATTCGTTGTAAGTGATTCGTAGGATCGATGGATAGATGGCGGAGTTGCACGAAGTTATGGCGGCGAACACGTGACCAGCGACGAGATGAGAATAGCGTTTGCAGCAGATGGATTCATTCAATGGAGCTTCAATCGAGATTCAAGCACAGCATGTATACGTGTATATATAGGTGCTTTGCGAGCTGAGAATAGATGATATGGCATGACTCATTTAACATAATTCCCACTCAATTATACTCATCGGCCAAGGGATTGAACACTAAAATGAAGAAGAGATCCACGTCTTATCACACTCAAATAAAAGAATAAACCCCCCAACCCCGGACATAAGAAACGAACAACCCAAATAAATATACAAGGGATACATATCTAGTAGTGTATATGTGCATGTGCACACTAAAGAACAATAACTCGACCTCTACCGCTTCGAAGATGACGCTTCCTAATGCTTCAATTTCTCTGCGGCAGCAGCCCTCCTTGCGGCAAGACGCTTTTCCTCGGCCTCGACCATATCTATATCGCAATTAGCACTATACTTCTAGTGACTAAAATGGGGGGGAAACAAACCTCTCCACATATCCTCACCCTGGTAATGTTCATGATGTATCCTCTTCTGGACTGGATGGTTTGGATCCGCAAGCCTCAGCTGTTCCTCCTCCTTCGCCCTCGAATCACTAACCTCAAACGCCGCTGTCGCAACCAAAATCAACAATGTCAAACCCTGCGCATACACTCTCGCCTGAACCAACTTCTGCGCAGTCGTGAGGTATCTATCTCTCGAGACCCACCAAAACGAACCGACCATTGACGCCGCCCACGAAGACGTAACAATCGTGTACCTATAATCCCTCCCCATCTTCCACGCCTTCTCCCACGTCGTCATATTCGCCTGTTCTTCGGCGATCCGACGAGCCGTGGTGTCGCGGAACTTC